GGCCTTCACGTCTGAGCCCCCTTACACAGTTTTTCATAAGGATAAGGTCCAGCTCAAGCCTCATCCGTCTTTTCTCCCGAAGGTCGTCTCCCATTTTCACATGACCCAGGACATCTTCCTCCCAGTGTTTTATCCCAAGCCACGCTCCTCCAATAGGGAGCGCAGGCTGCACTCACTGGATGTGCGTAGGGTCTTCTACATAGAGAGAACTAAGGTGTTCCGAAAGTCTGTCCAACTCTTTGTAGTCGTGGTGGACAGACTGAAGGGCCTCCCAGTATCCTCTCTACGCATATCGTCATGGATAACGTCCTGCATTAGGGAGTGCTATACCCTGGCAAAGGAGCCCACTCCGCAGATAACTGCTCACTCTACCAGGGCCCAGGCCTCCTTTGCGGCGTTCCTGGCACAAGTCCCTATTCAGGAAATTTGCAGGGTAGCCACGTGGTCCTCAATACATACATTTACGTCGCACTATGCAATTACACAACAGTCCAGGGACGATGCAGCTTTCAGGAGAGCTGTGCTCTTTTCTGTGGATAACTCCGACCCCACCTCCTGAGCTCTGGCTTGTGAATCACCTGCTTGGAATGGACATGAACAATCACTTGAAGAAGAAAAAATGGTTACCAATACCCACCCTCTTACCCCTCTGTCGGAATAGTCCAGAAGAAGGAACTGAGGGGGTGAAGGGTCGGCGGGGCCCAATATTGGGCGCCATGAAGGCACCACTCCGGGGGGGTGCCCAGGCTGACCCTATGGACGCTGCTAGGGGAAAAATCTTCCGGCTGGCATGCACGCGGCGCACACACACACACCTGCTTGGAATGGACATGAACAACGCATCTCGAAGAACAACAGTTACGAGAAAGTGAGTAACCATTTTTTTTTCTTCTGATTATATAATCTATGAAGTAAAATTTATGAAAGAGATTAGAGGGGTGCAAATATCAGTTTGTTTTACTTCGTACATTTGACAGCTCTCTGTGTATAGCCAATTCCCCTGTTCATCCTGCACAGTAAGTATCCCATATTGTTTATGTGGGACTTTCACATAGAAGCCAAGATCAGAGGAAACATTAAGAAAATATAAGGAAAAAGAAAAACCACAGAGGTAGCGATAGTACTTGAAATTAACTGTGTCTTTTCAATTTGATTGTCTTTTAAACAGTTAAATTTGAAATTTGAGAGAGGTTTTTAAATTATTCTCATATCTGACTCTCCTGTAGATTTTTATAGTTATCCTTACACGTGTGAAAGAAATCAAGTGGACTGAAATGGGTTTCTCGTTTTTGCCCAGCCAAAATTTCCCATTCATTTTGTTTAACTAAGGATTGCAGAGTTGGGAGTCTGAGCTATACCAACAATGTTGATAGGACCAAAAACCTAATCTGCTTTAAGAATGTTTCCTCTCCACCCACTTCTTTGATTTAACTGTCCACCTAAGCCTGAAGCATCTGATTCTTCAAAACAAAAGTCTCCAATCTCTAGAGGTTTAGGTTTCTTTGAAATATCATGTGTTAAACTGGCATGTTAAGTTGTATCTCCATGTTCGGTGTGTTTGTTGTATTCTCGTGAACAGGCAGGGTATTGGGACAAATTTCTGCTAGATAACTGTCTTGCTTGCTTGTAAGAATGGTGTAGATAGCGGAAGGGAAAGTTGTGATATGCCATCCAAAAGAAAGTATATGATTTTTGACAGTGTCTCTCTTTAAAAGGCTGACCTCTCTGAAAAGCAGTAATTCTTGCCCTTCAAGTTGACTTTCTAAATTAGAAGAACAATATTAGAGTAGGATGGAAAATATTTTTCCATCATATGTAGTAGTAACTTTGGAAATGCAAATGCTTTAGGCTTGTCTAGTCATATATATTTTTAACCAAGAGCTCACACAGTGGGAGGTGACTAATAACGGTGAATGGGTTTTGACAACAAAAGCCTTATCAGGAAGTTAAAGGCAGACACAAGCTCACCATCTAATTCAGAATTAAATGAAGTAGGGGAAGTTAAACAGAAGGGATGAAGCGGAATTTACTGGATGCTTTAAACCCCAGCTATAAGTAGTATTAGTAGCAAGCATGTGGACATCCTCCACATTGACTTTTTTTAGTGGGTTTCATTTCTGAACATTTTAATGTTCAAACTAACATGACACTTTTTTTTTCTTTCTTGCCTTTTGCCTTTGATTTTCAGTTTCCCTAGCTTAGGTCAAGTGACTTATTGTTCTCCCCTGCTGATCCTATACTTCCAGGGTCTGAATTGACTCTTTTTGGGGTGTTTCCTGTATTGTGACTGACATATGTGCTGTTCCTAGCTTGATTAATTTTTCTCCATATTTTTCTTCTTTGCCTTTGGTTTTGTTTCCATTCCCCTCACCTTTCCCATTACTTTCTTATGCCTGTTTATTCCTAGTTTTCTGTCCTTGCCTCTGCCTTTCCCAGGTTTCATTCTCCTACCTGGTTCATTCCTTCCTTTGTTTCTGACTTCCATTCTTTAGATTTGTCTATCTTCCTTCTTACCCTAATTTCGTATCTTTTTTCAACATACTCTGCTTGCTTGCTCACTCACATATTCAAGGATGTCTTAGGCTTCCCCTCTTCCCTGCCCGTCCGCCCAAGGATCTCTGCAAGCTTTGCACTCTGTATTTGTCCAGCTTTTTTTATATATATATATATATATATATGGCTGTGTTGTGCTGATTCGAAGGCCAGTGATGTTGGAAGTTGTATGCAAAAAGCTCCCACCCTGGCTGGGGTAGGGAGTAGGCAGCAGATAAGAAGACAAACTGTTAAGGAAGGTAATTAATTAGGTGGAGTGAACTGAAGTAGTGTTTCTCAACCTTTTTGATACCAGGGACCAGTTTGCTTCCTTCCTTAAACTGTAAGGGGGATCACAAGGACTGGCACCATTCCATGGACCAGTTTTTGAGAAATGCAGAACTAGAGTGCTCCTCAACTCTACCCCAGAAAGGAGTTATGTTCTGCCTCAGTCTGACTGCACTGTCTCTGTAGAGATTTAGCTTTTTTGCTGTTCTTCAGAATGGAGGCTGAGAAATTCAGTTTTTAAGTACAACTTAATTTATAGGACAAGAAATAATTTTTAAAAGCTCACTTAAGCACCCTGAATAGAATAGACTTGGTGCAACTGGCCTTTGCAGTAACACCTCTTCTAAATAGTAATAAATTTTATCCTGTTGTTGGATTTGTGCTATTTCAAACAACGGTTTAGAATTTCCAATTGTCTTACATTTTTAACAGGCTGGTGAGCATGTTGTAAAATAGCCTATCTGGTGCTACACAAACTAATGAAATGCTGGAATCCTTTTTATGTTTCTGACAGACACTCCACTTGTGCTAAACTTGATGACTATCACTGCAGGGTTGGAATCTTTATTACAGCACCAAGTGCAATCCAGTGTTCGGAACAAAAAAAGATAAAAACCGTGCACTGTTTTAAGTAATCTACCCATAAAGGCAACTACTTTGACTCTGCAACACCTTTCATAGTTTATTGCTTAAAGAGGAAAAGCTTTGAAATGTTTTGGGGGAATTCTACAATCATTTCAAATATAGATATTATTCATTTGATCATTTATAGCATTATTGTGTAGCAAAAATGCTTTGCTTGTTTTAGTATTCAGTTTTATTTACAGCTATTTTTAATCTTAAATTTTTTGCACTGATAATTTTAGTGGTAATACCTGTTTGGTACATTACAAATATTTTTAAGACTAACAAATTTCATTAAATGACATTAAACGAAGTTTTCAATTGGTTTTATCCACATGAAGTATCCTGTAGATGTAAAAGGACGTGTGATGAAGTCCATCATGACCATATATAATTTACAGACTTTCAATTATCTTGAAATTGTGAAGCTTTAGTAAAAGCTATTTAGTTGTTCAATGAAACTCAAAATTTTTAATGTGTGTTTTTAAATGTTGTTGTATACCCCTGTGAAGCTCAAGAAATTCTGAGCTAATACTGCTGTAGCATCCTTAGCTTTGAGCTATTGTTCATGTTATAATAGATATGTTGTTTAGATCAATGAATGTTTGAAAGTCTGGCTTCTGCAAATCCATGGTAGTATCTTCTTTAGTCAGATTTTGTTGTAGAGAAAATGTGTGTGTCTGTTTTAAGAGTTTTGTAACTTAGAGTTATACACTAACCATAATAGAAACTGACACAGTCTTAAAGGGAATCTGTCAAGGTTGGTAGCTTGAAAATTGTGTTAGATTCCTACCTTATATATATTTTCCTTTCCTTTCCGTTCCGTATATACATACATACACGTAGAGTGAATGGAAAAATAAGTGGCTCGTTAGCATTGTTGTTGCTGGACTAACCCATGACTGTTCTGATTTCAGTGGAATGCTGATGAAATTCATCAGTAAAGTTCAGCAAATGTGAGTGCTGGAGTGGAAAACTAGTAAAAAAACAGATATTGCTCTCTTCTCTTTATTGAGGTGGCATAGCTTAACTAACTTGGACCTCCTTGTTCTTAAAGCCCACAGCAACTTACGCCTGTGCTATATTTGAGACTAGTGTTATCCTCATGGATATCTGTGATCTGACACTACCTGCCATTGCAACTTATCTCAGCTAGCAATTGTGCCTTTGCTTTCGTGCTCCCAAACTTGAGTTTTATTACGCCTTAGTTTTTAAATAGCATAACATTTTTCCCAGGTGGTATTTTCTAGCATGACCATTGTTGGATTGCGTGTATGTAAGATGGAAAGAAAAAAGCATATTTTTAATGTCAAATCATAACATGCTGTGTGAAGCAATCTGATTTTTTCTTTTCAAGGGTTTACATCCTTTTAAAATGAAGTAATAAGAAAATTTAATTTATTCTCCTCCTTCCAGTATTTCTTCGATTTAGCTCTTGTTTACACAAAGTTCCTCTACGAGTAGCTTGTTAAACTTTTGCAGCTTTAAAACAGCAATATAATGGGGGTTTTTTTGTATTGGATCTATAACTAACTAGCTGTATTACTACTCCACAGGAAACTGTTGTGCTGAAAGGAAGAATTAACTGGTTTTTCAACTTCAGGCTTTTTATTGTGAGAAGGAAGATCACATAAGTGTTACCATGGGGAGAACAGCAGCTAAAGGTAAGGTTGGTGGCTTTTATCCAAAAGGAAAGAAAGTAGAAAACATAAAAGCTATTTTTGATTAAATGGGGTATTATTATACCTAATAGTAATAACTGCTGTATTGTTAAGTTGAAATAGGATGGTAATATGTACTGAACTTGTTATGAATCAAATTAAAGCAAAAAATCCCAAACTTACAGTAGGTATGTTAAATTTCTCCTTAATTGAAACCATTCTATATAATTTCACCCAAAACAACTGTTGTCCTCAGACAAGCTAGAAAACAGTCAGAGTAGAAAATTTAAGCACATATCTAGATGTGTTGTTAACATATAATCCTTTATAGGTGATAAATTATGCAGATGTCACAGAATCCAAGTTATCAGAATAATGTGTAATATCGGGTATTAAGTTTTACAATAGCAAACTGCATCAGCAACTACCTTTCAAAAGCCCATGTAGATAACATAAACTGTTTTATGCAGTTTAATTTCTCATCTATGCAGTGGTATTCTCTCTAGTCATGTCTTCTACTGTGCTGTATCTGGGGGGGGAACATCCTAAGTTATGTTGTTTTGCATCAACTTGAGGGTGAGATTTGAGCAGAAGTGAATATGTGAAATAGAATAGGCATGAAATAGAAATACAGAATCTTGTGAAGAGAGCCCAATTACTCTGTAACTGGTCCTTTTCAGTTTTGGGACAGGTCGTTCTGCTCTATTGAAGATTGCTACGTTTTTTGCACCTAATTCATGCTTTCCACCTTTGCAGTCCAACTGCTTTCTCTGCAGTTGTCTACTGCCTGTAAATTGCAGTGGATCATCTATGATGACTGTAGTTGCGCATGTAATAGTTTGAAAATGCTGCAAGACAGGCCCTATTCCTGGAAGCCCATCTGGGATGTGTCACCTAGAAAAAAACAAACACAGGTTGAAGGAGATGGAGCTGTTCCAGATCCACCCTGCTTTAGAGTGTACACAGATTTGAGAGAAGTCTTGATGGAAGATGTTAGCCAGCTCTTCTCTTCCCATCCCCCTCTTGGAGGTGGATAAAAGGTCCTAGACAGAGTCTCAGGTGCATTAGGAATCAAACATTTTCCCCTCCTCTGGTTGCCATCACAGATCTTCAGAGAGGTGGTGGTCAGCTTGTTGGGGAATGCTCTTCCACTCCATCTCAGTCCTCCACTCCTGAGGTGCAGCTGAGACCTTCTGTCAGGGTGGAGGGGAATAGTCTTTTGCGATCTGTCACTCTAAGGTGCTTGACAACTCTGAGGAACAGAGGTAGAGACTTCTGAGAGGGAGCCTCCTCACACATCAGAACTAGCCAGGGTGGAAGACTTTGACTCCCTTGTTGGAGTGGTGTCTGGAATCTCAAGAATAAGTCCCTAGGAAGTGGCTGTGCAAATCTTGATAGACCGACCCTCTATGTTGCTCCCTTCCCGCAAGGACATCAAGGAAATAGTGTCTTGGGAAAAGACTGATACATATTCTCTAAGGCAATGCATTGCTTTCATTGTTTCCCAAAAAGATTCTACAAGACTTGGGGCACTCTCCTATTTGCAGGAGAGTAATAGTCATATCATTAGTTAAGAAACTGGCTCTTCTAAGAAGTGGGTGCTTTCTGTGAAAGCTCTCTTGTGTCAGGAAACTGGAGTTCAACGTTAGGAGGAACTGTAAGTGGTCACTAGGATCATCTCAGTTGCTTCTACCAGACTTTGTGCTTGAAGGAGGTAGCCTTCTTGGTCCCTGGTGGATTGCAAATCAATGAAGAAAGCTTGGGTCAATCTCCAGTTGTCTCTGATTTCTTGTATGATGGCTGTGATTACTCTGGCTTGTCTTCTGATGAGTTATCTTGTTAGCAGAAGAATTTCATGTCTACAGATTGGGGAGAGGTGCTCCAGACCAACCTGCCATGCATAGTATCTGTAAAGTGTAACCTGGGTAGATGGAATTGCTCAACCATGGTTCCATTCTTTTCAGGGTGGATTTGATTTAAATCACTAGTCGGGAAGACTTGATTTAATCATGGATTTCTACATAAAAGTGTATTCTTCTTGGTATACATATTCTTCACAACGTAGAGATAGATGTAGGTTTCATTTTTAGAAGGTACACACTATACATTTTTAAAATGATTTAATTTGAAAACTTTTCAGATTCGTTTTACACTGTATCCGAAAATGAATGATTGTTTGGTTATTTCATTTACCAAAGGTAATTTGAAGCAGATATTTATGAAGTCCATGGGAGGTGAATATCTCCAATTCAACAGGTTAATCATTAATATTTGGAGGATTTTCTTGCCATGCTGTATTAGGAGGATAACATCGCCAGACAGACATTTAAATTGTTTTATTTAACTAAAACAACAACATTATGTATTTTGGTTTTTTTTTCAGCAACAGACATATCATATTTTAACAAAACAAGCATATTAATTTTTGAATTTAGTTAAATATTCAAGTTTTTTAAAATCAGGTCTGTTTTTGTTAAAATTGTTTTTAACTAAAATAGTTAAAACGAATTGTTTTTTTAAAAAATAACAAATTAAATTGACTGTCATCCAGGTCAACATGAGAAACTTAAAATATTGGCTTCTGCAGCTAACTCAGTCGTCTTCACCTTCATTTTCTTGTTTGTTCATATTCTGGAAAAGAAAAAGAAGCTTTCGTGCTTTTTCAGGTCCCAAACGATTTCTCAATTTGGAATGAATTAGTCCAAAGGACAAAAATATTATTTCTACGCCGGCAGAAGAAGCTACTGCTGTTAAAAGTGAGATTATCACTTCAACAGTCTCTGAATCCAAGTGCTTCAGTGACTTCCACCAGTTCACTGGTGTGACTTTCTTTAAAACATCATGAGCAAACATATATTTCTTGAATGGTTCACCCTTAGCTCTGAAGTTTATTATAGTTGGCATTATGGAGGGATGATTGCTGAATGTCCATGTCATAGCCAACTCCTCTTCTTCAGCAGTTAAGGTTTGACCCTGGTACCAAGTACTGAGAAGATTTGCAAGAAAATGAGCTGGAGATAGAGCTTGCCCCATTGGTTTTTTTAATGCTTGTAATTTAACTCTGTCATTGCATATTTCTCTTTTTAAGATTTCACTCAGTTCCTTCCAAATTTTAACAGCGTCAGCAATAAAACAGCTATTTCCCTGCATTTTGTTCCAGGCTACAGAAATAGGCTTCAGGGTACTCAGCATGTGCTCAGCGTTTCTCTCAAGCCCACTGTTGAGAACTTTGGCTGTGACAGTGCCATCTATTTTTTCATGATTTTGTTCACAAACTGTCATCAGATTAGGCCAGTTCTTGCTACAGTACTCAAAACAGTCCACTACTGAGTTCCATCACACGTCTTGTAGGAGAGTTAGCTTGGTTCCTCCCACTTTTTTCAGTGCAGCTGCTGCAAAGTGGTTGTTACAGAAGTATTTTGCAATTTCAACAACATTATCCGTTATTTCTGGAACACTGAAGTCTTTGGGTAGGAGGTGCATCAAATGAGCACTGCAACCATTTGTTGTTAGCTTGGGACTCTCTTCTAAATAATTTCTTCTTATCTTGGATACATTTGCAGCATTGTCTGTGACCAAGCTGCGTACTCGACAGTTGAATTTTTTTTTCACAGTTTGTTATAGCCTTTAATGCTACTTTTTGTAAGTATTCTACTGTGTATGCATTTTTTGTATGGAAGACATTCCCTTCTTCTGTTGTAACAGAAGAACATACAACAGATATACTGTGGCTGTGTGACATACATGATGTGACTGAAACACTATCCTTGGCAGATAACTCTGAAACTATAGAAAATGATGGTGATCTTGAAAGTGGATAGTCTTCAGAATTCTGTATGTTGAGGATGGATTCTCCTAAACAAAATAAGTCAATGCAGTTATTTAATTATGATTATCATACTGCTCATTTAGTATTACTCATTGCATTCACTGACACTCAGTACTACTTTAAAGGTGAAATTGTAGAAGGAAGATCTGCCTATTTCAGCTGTTTATTTTTATCACAACTGCAGCTAAAATAATAGCACCATGGAGTAACAACTGTATTTTTTTTTTGCTCAAACTTGAGAATTCAGGAATAGTCCAGAGGGAAGACAGGCAGTCCTTAAGAAAGAAGTATGAAATAAAAAAAAGTTTACCAACCTGAAGATCCTGCATGTTCAGACGTGTTCCTTTCATCATCTTCAATGCAGCTTCCTCCTGAGAAGGAACACTTCTCTTGATGTTGTTTCATTTGGGAAACCAGGCCTTGCATTTTTTGTTGCGCTGTTTGCATTTTGCACGCATGCCTTGTCTTACCCACAGGTAGAGGAACTTCATTAAAATATTCCCAAACTGGGTCTCTTTTACGGCCTGCTGCCATTATAGGTTTTCCCTTCTCGGGAGAGAACGGTATGGTAGATCTCAAATCAATGAAGGCTATACTCAGACCTCAAGACTTCTGGAATATGCTGCTCAAACAGTTTCACTTCTGTTTCTGCTGCTGGTCCCTCCCTTCTCACATTAATCTCTAGACTTCTTCTCCTTGTCCAGATCTATTCTGCCCCCAACAATCTTCTATTCATTGAACTTTTTGAAACTTTGCACTTTTAGAGAGAGGTAAGGGATTGACTCTGTGTACACAAATTTGCAGAAGGACAGTAGGGTTGAGGTCTATTATTTCTCACCTCTATATATTTATTTATAAACATTTTTGCTGTTAACAAGCATGTTATCTCTGGAGACACAAATCCACAGTTTGAGAACTGCAAAACTATGCATCTCTGATAGTATCTTCTGCTCTGAGTCCCATTGGGTAGATAGAAAGATTAACCTAAATAATCTATACAGAAGCTCCTGGAACCGCATAAAATTTGGTCCCTAATCCATGAGCCATTGGAACTCATTTTACAAAACTTTTCTTAATATACCCATGTATGTTTGTCTCATACTATAGAATTAGAATTTATAATCCTATTCCATGATGAGATATTTTGAGCTATAATGTATCTTAATTAAAACTATCTTTAGATAGGTTTCTTCCTCAAAAAGCATTTTATCAAAAAAATCCGATTTAATAGATTTTTATCTGCCCTGATTCTTTTCAAAACTTGGGGCAATGGACAATTTTTAGTCACCCTCAAGATCTCAATCATGTGGGATCCCCCAGGATTCAATCTCCAAACACTTCCTATTCAAAGGGAAACTGCTTTGGAAGTTTTGTCCATTCCAAAATCTCACAAATAATGCTAATGACAATTCCACTTTTATTTTTCATATTTCAAATCCATATTTGCAGTCTCATTAGCCTCTAAATATCTAGCAGTGGTGGTACCTTGGAAGAGAACCAGCGGTCTTCAGATCAATCCCAATTAGACCCAAGTAATGTTGATTTGGAAGGTCACTGCATTTGAAGAAATAGGATGGGGTTGTGACTGTTATCCCTATGTAAGGATATGTACACTCACCATCTTGGGGTTTTACTGGACCTTTTACTTATCCCTTTCCCTGGTGTTGGCCTTATTGCCATACTATGTTTGGATAGTCATTTTAAATCATTGAGAAGGAAATGGAAAACAGGCCAAAGAAGAGGGAGAAAATTTCCCCTTTAGTCAATAGAGCAGAAACCCAGAACTTTTAATCTTTAAGAGATTACAGCCCAGTAAGGAATTACTTGGCTTCCCATCCTGTGTGCAGGCCAGGAGATCATATCTTTGTTCTTAGTTTAAAACACTTGTTGGGCTATCAACATCAGTGAAAATGTTAGCCGAAAAGGTTATATTGAAAATGGTGCATGAAAACAGGAGCTCACATTCACTATAACTGTGGGTAGCACAATATTATAAGAGAATGATTGCATTATACAGAAAAGGAATAGTAGTTTACCGTATATGCTTAAAACACCTACTGTAATCACAGCAGCGATTCCTTATCATAGCTGTGAAATATCAAGGCTGTCACTGACCTGAATGCAATAATGCTATGTTTAAATATACTTGTTTACCAAGAAAAATAGCGACTGAGATTTGAAATCTACTGCCTTAATGAAACTACCTACATCTATTTCATGGCTTGAAAAATTTACTTTCTACACAGGGTGAAAAATAACCTATGCTGTCTTTCTCTGCCCAAAAGCAACAAAGAGCACTTGCTCACTTATTTGCTTCCATTCTCCTTCACTCACTGCCCACCCCCCTGCTAGCATATCAAGAAGAACAAGTCCATTAGGATTTGTTTTCTTCAGATATTTTCTACCAGTTCTAAACTGTCTATGTTGGAGAGAAAATGGTGTCTCAGTTTCACCAATTCCTTGCTTATGTGACACACAAGATGTGTGATCCGCTTTATAACATTGGATTGTACCTTCATTTCAGTTTCCAGGTAAGTATCAAACATCTGTCAAAAATATAGACATTTGGTATGGAACTGGAAATTGAAATTGAAGTATGATCCTAAACTGAAAAGGGAATTGAATGCGCTGCAGCACAATGGTTGTCTTAATATTTGCTAATGTGGCAAAGCTGTGAATAAAGTCAATCATGGGTAGCTCATCTGTCTATGGGTATCTTCATGGCTAACTTCTCTTGAGTTAGGTTAGCTTGATTGAGAGCAGCGACACTGTGAAATAATGCACAAGCTGCACAGAATGGCTGTGGTAGCAGCTGAGTAGTTGTGCTTACTTGAGCTGTAGCATAATACACCCTGACAAGCCAGCCAACTTGAATTAAAAGCACCACTACACTCAAGTTAAGGGATTTTGTGTGAGGCTGGAACTTGAGTTAGGGGCAACACTCACATTATGGCTTGAGTTACCTTTTCCTTGTCGTACTGATACCTGAAGTAAAGTGGAATTGATTGTGTGTTCCTCTTGGGTTTCACTCTGTTCTTCCACCAATGGTAACAGGAGTAATGTGCAGAAACAGCTGAGAGAATCTTTCTGCTGATTCATTGGTGTGGTGTAAGCATAGGCCTGTATTCAGTGAATTAGGGTTGCAGTGAGAACCTTCACTGAGAAATAAACTAATTTTTTTTCTGTTTCAGTTTGTCAGGACCTGCACCAAGATTGACAAAAATGACTAGTGATCTTGGGTTCTGCAGTTTTTGTGCGGCCCACTTGAGATACCTTAGAGGGGCTTGAATTTCAGAGGGTCGTGTGCAGCACATTGAGCACCAAGACCTTTTCTTGTCTCAAATCAAAAATCATGAATGTCTTTTGGAAACCTTGGTGCAAGGTCCAAGATGCTCTTTGGTCTAATACTCTCGCTCAAACTATAAAACAAAATAAAAGCTATTTGAAAATAAATGTAGATTGTGTTTTTTAAAATTTTGGACGATGTTTGTTGACAGCCAAGAAGCATTCTTTTTGGAATTCTTTCTTTCCATGCTTGTACTTTTATCTTGATGTTAGTTTCTCTTTTGAACTCTGAGGTGAACTAGAATAAGAATAAAATTTACCTTTTTATGACATAGTGAAATATATAAACAAAAATCTGTGGTTAATAGAACGTATTTGTCTTGAAAGTTATGGTTAAAAGTGCTCTATATTAGACTAATTGTTACCCTGGACTTTAGTATGATGTGAATGCTAAATCTGTTATGTAATGACATTTTATGTCTTGTAGATTCAAAGAATGTTAAAAAGGAGAAACATGGGAAGAGTCAGCAGTCAAACAACGTGTCTTTAAAAAATGGTAGGTATTAAAATTGTCAGGTTATTAGTCAAGATAATGTTTAAATCTAAATATTTGGATTGTGTTGTCTGGGAATCTTTTACACTGCTCAGGCTGTTAGTGATGACTGGGATACATAGAAGAAGAATAGAAAGCATCTGAACCACTGCTGTTAACTTCATTAGCAGACAGTGCTTTGATATTGCATATATAAATGCCGTTGGAAGGGTGAAAGAATTGACTTTAGCATACTAGTTCAGCTGACCAAAAGGCAAATACTAGTTACCTATGTAATCCTCTGAACAAAAATAATGTGTGGGTCCCAATTTTTTTAAGATGAAGTTTTGGATCATTACTGTTTTCTACTTCCTTTAACCCTATGTATACCTTTTCTCTGCCTTCTCTCCCAAAAGTCTCCATTGTTTTTTTTTCTCCTTAACTACCATGTTTGCTGATACTGAAGAGAGGAGCTGCGATAGTTGGGCTGAATCTTCATTAGTGCTACATAGGTAGGGAAGGTAAAATAATCTTCTGCATTTGTTCTTTTGTGGGGAAAACTAAAAAACAAAGTGGATTGTTTGAGACTAAATGAAAGTTGAGAGCATTCCCATCTGCAGCTGTTTCCCATCCATTAAAATAAAAATGGATACCTTCACTCTTAGCAGAAAATGATAATTTTTCATCAGGGACAATTGGTCTGTCATTTGGAGGGTGTGGGAAATCACCTGTTGTGTTTGTGTTTGGTTTTTTAAAGCTGACCCGTTAACCTAGCTACATGTCTTATAGGCAACAACAAATGTTTTCAGTAAGTTGTTTTCACCATCTCTCTTTCCTACTAATTAACAGAAGGGTGGGGCACTCCCACTGTCTGAGCCCACCGAGCACAGACTTACTCCTGGGGGAATTCTGTGCTAAAAATTTTATAATTCTGTGCACAATATTTTTAAATTTATTTGTCAAAATAACACAATATAATCACACCAGTTTCAGTTATTTTGGTAATTTATTTAAAAATACCTATCAGCAAGTATGTCAACAACACAGAGAATGAAAAAAATTCCCCGAGGAGTAGAGAGTTTAAAGAAACTCCTACAACAACCCATTTCAAGTTAGGGGGCGCTGGAGAGGGCTGCATGATTCCTCCCCTAGCCCAGACATGTGCCCCCCCCCCCGGCCTAGACACATGCTCCTCCCCTCTCCCCAGAGCCCAGTCGTGCGGCCTCCCCCCCGAGCCCGCCCCCTGCAGCTTTGTCCCACTGAGGGACACGGTGCAACCCTGCCCTTCCTCACTCTGTGCCAGAGCCAGGTCTCCCATGCCTGCTCCCGTTAAGTGGATGAGGATCAAGCCCTGTTGCCAGAATGTGCAAAGCTTCCATTCCTGCTGGTCCAGACATTTGTCTCGCTGCAAGCTGGAGAAGAGCCAGGCTCTGCAGAGTCCAGCGGCCCCTAGAGGTAGCCAGTAGCTCTGCAGCCCCAAGTCTGTGGGGGAAAACATGAAATTCTGTGCAGGACATTAATTCTGCACAAATTCTGCATTGTGCAGTGGTGCAGAATTCCCCCAGGAGTAACACATGATCACTGCTGCTAAAAGGAAAAGCTGTCAGGTAGAGGAGCTAGTTAGAGGCTTCATGAGGCGTGGAGGTGGTGAAACAAGGTGTGGAAAGATTTTGGTAGAGTTGAGAATAGTATGGAACTGACAAGAGTTTTGTGGACAGTATTTTACCGAGGGACTGTCACAGGTATTATTGACTGAGGTAGAAAACTTATGAAGGGGTCTTTTGTTAAAACTTTGATAGCACATCAGAGTTATAACATTTCATAAAACTAAAACACTAAGGCCTTCCATGGGCATCTAATTAAACAGAAGTTTTTCAGTCTGCTACAGAGACTTTTTGGCTGCTACCCCGAAGCTCTTTCCCATCAGAGGAAGCGTAATCTCATTGGTCCTCTGACTGGCTGGGAGCTACTTTTTTCCATAGACTGGTGTTGCAGTGAACCACAAAATAATCCATGGAATGACATCCTGATGTCATATTCGTTATCTGTATTGTAACTGTGTAGTTGTTATGACATCACCACCTGTAGATGTCATCTCACCACAGAGTTGTCTGCAAACTTGTTAAAGCTCTCTAGAACTTCATTTGTCATTTTGACTCATTTTCTTCTCCTCCCTAAGACTGTTGGGAGAGAGGTGGGTTTTTTCCTCCTCCATTCCTAGTTACTGGGAGGGATCCTTGCAGTTTTCTGTTGCTCGTTGCTGCCAGTATATACTGGGCAGTAGAGGAAATGGTTCTGTGATTAGTGCTCCACTTGCTTGGCTATGCCAGTTTGAGTGAGAGGAGCTGCAGTCACACTTGGAAGTATTGCTGTGTTTGACATCTAGCTTAATACACAGTGTGAATGTCAGCGTGCGAAATGGAGCCGGTCCCATCAACCACTCCCTGGTACCGTTCAGGGAGATCAGAGACACCGTACCATCAACTCTGGTTCCGGCTCTGGCCGTCCATTGAGTCCCATATTGAAGAGGGTGATGCTGGCACTGGCTGTTTCTGCACTGGCGGTATATCAGGTAGTAATGAGCCTCCTCTGCCTTTCTGTCCTGACCTCTCCCTTGGCCCAGGACTTTGCCAAGGCTACCTAGTTTATAGCCCTGTTGGCTGGGTGGGCTGCTGAGGCTGCGCTGCTGAGGCTGTGGGTCTTTTGGTATCTGATGTTTCCCTTTGACAGTCAGTGGAAGTGGGGCTGGTGCCGGGCTCAGAACAAGGGACCTCCCCAGCACTGGGAACTTTCTTGGCACCCCTGCTGTTGGCACCATTGATGTAACCGTGGCGGCATGCACCTCTCTCGACTTCAGCACTGTCAGTCACCTCGACTTCAGGGTTGACCCCACTTCCAGCACTGGAAACAACGGAGGTATATTTGATGCTAGCAGTACCGTTTCCACCATCTGTGCCAGTTTGCTCTTCATTTTGGGGTATGGATGAGTCAGGCCAGTTGCTTGCACCCTCAGGGCTGGCTCCACCTTTATCCCCTGAAGCTCGGGATGCCTCAGGGTCCAGGTCGGGATCTTCCTCCACCTGTTCTCCATTGCCTCACCTGCATCAGGGCCCAGTCAAGGAGAGCTATGGGTACTATGATAAGTGCTCGTCTCACAGTGGAGATGGCGGGCCTCTGCCTGGTGTCTACTGGCCACCAATGCCCTATCCATACCAGTGGGCTGCTTGAAATCTGTGGGATGCTCCTTGGTTGCGTAGGTCCAACTCCTCCATCGCGCTCTAAGACAAGATCGCTGAGCAGTCATGTCGAGCTGCCACAGGCCTGGGCACCAGTGAACCTTCCCCATGTGGAGCCTCCAGAGTCATCCTGTCCAGGCCTGTTAGTCCTGGAGTAGGATCTGGCTCTGGCACAGTTAACCGCTTTCTGTGGTGATTCTGTGATTCTGATTCTGTGGTGTCTCGATCTTCCTTTGGTACCAGAGGATTTCAAGGTGTACCAGGACCTTCTGCAGCATGTGGCTGCCTTCCCTGGGTGTTCCTGCAGGAGAATATCTATAAATTGTTGGATATCCTGCAGCCGTCTGCCCCGGGAGAGTAGCCCTCCCTATTAATGATGCACTCCTAGAGCCTGCTAATTTTCTCTGGAGCATGTCAGCTTCATTACCCCCTCTTGCAAAGCACATGGAGAATTGCTACTTCATTGTGGTGCAGGGATTTGGGGGTTTTTACTCCCATCCAGCCCCAAATTCCCTGGTCATAACCACGGTGAACAATAGAGGTCTGAAGGATGGATTTAAGTCCACCCCCAAAGATAAGGGCTCCAAACAGATGGCCCCGATGGGTAGGAAGATTGACACTTTCTCTTATTTGTAGATGGACATTGCTAACCAGCAGGTATTGCTGTCTAAATACGACTTTGTGAATTGGATGGCTATGTCTGAGTTTGCGGACCAGTTGCCCAAAGTCTTGAGGGAGGAATTTTGGGCATTTATCACCAGAGGCTGTTTGGTGACTAAGACTTTGTAATGGCCTATGCTGGACATTGCGGATAGTTCAGTCAGAGTGATGGCTTTGGCAGTGACTATGAGAAGGGAGTCCTGGCTGCAGAATTCGGGCATTGTCCTGGTGTGCAACAAGCCATAGAGGATTTGCCCTTCAGCTGAGTGCATTTTTTGGACAAGACGGACGAGATTCTGCACTCCTTCAAGGACTCTAGGGCTGCCCTACGATCTTTGGGGATGTGTATGCCAGCAGTGCAGAGGGACCACTACAGTGATCAGCAGCAGTATTGTTTGCAGCACACATTTGGGCAGCCTTTCCCTCCCCTGAGACAGCAGGACTACCCCAGAAAGGGGCATAGGTCCTAGAAGAGGAAGCATTCAGTTCTGGGGTTTGGCCACTCTACACACCTTCCCCAAAGCCCCCACCCCAAGTTCCCGATAGGGATCACCTCTTATAAAATACTGCTTCTCAAGCAAGTTTGCTCTCTACTGGCTTTGGGAGCGGTGGAGGAGGTTCCACTGGGGTCATGGCTTCTGTTACTGTACTATCTGGTGCCTAAATCCAAGGGAAGGGTAAGACCCATTCTCAACTTTCCTGGCCTCAACAAATATATCAGATACATGAGGTTCCAAATGGTCACTTTATCAACTATCCTCTCCCAGTTGTCACAGAGCAGTTGGTTGGCTTTTCTTGACCTTCAGGACACCTAGTTTCACCTGACAATTTTGCAGAGAAACAGAAAATTCCGTTGATTTGTCGTAGCGGAGCACCATTTTCAGTATACGGTGCTTCCCTTTTGCCTCTCTTCTGCCCTTTGGGTTTTTACCAAATGCATGGTCGTGGTGAAGGGGTACCTCAGCCGGAAAGGAATCCACACCTTCCCATATATGGATAACTGGTTACTATGGGGCAGGTCCAGAAAGGAAGTCCTTTCCCATGTCAACGCTACAATGCGCTTGAGACCATCTGGGTCTCATCCTGAACATTGAAATGTCAACTTTGGTTCCTGCTCAGAAAATCAAG